CACTTTTCAGCAAAAACCTTCTTTTGATCTTACTGTTTTTGCGATAAACCCTAGAAATTTTGGATCCCTTAAAGTTTTCCTTAACAAATTTTTGGTTGTGCGAGTTTTGGCTCACACAATTTGGCGCCGTCTGTGGGGAATCAAAATTTTCTTACTCAATATCATCAAGAGCTAAATATTCGAAGAACATGGCAACCAACGCACCCGGAGACGACAACAACAACAACGCGCGGAGAAAGACGCTCTACCAGCAAGCACGACAACGACAACCACCAAAGCCCAGGAGGAGATGCGAAACATGATGGCTACGTTGATGAAGAAAATCGACGAGCAGGACAAGAGGAACCAGGCAATTACGGAGAGATTTGACGCAATAACGGCCGAAAGACGGCACCCAACTTGGAGAACCAGGATCTCCGATCCGACAGATAGAGTCAGGAGACGCTTCGATTTCTCGACACCTGCAGGAGCATCCGGTAGCGGCATAAGAAATCCCATGGCTCCGCTAATGTTTCGTCCCCTCGGGAAACAAACTCCCGCAGCTACCCGAGTCAACATGACCGAGCTGCCCCCGCTTCGTCAGAATTCAAGGTGACGAGGTGATGAGGAGGAGAAAGACGTGACCGATGTGGACGCCCATCAGAGCGACAAAACCAGGAACTCGCAACAAAACAGCTCGGCTCGGCGGATAAGTCAAGAAGAGCTCGCCTCGGCACTAAATAGCATTCAAGTTGACGAAGTCGCCGACCCGATTTGCGATAACGACCCAACCGAGGAAGAGGAAAATCTCCAAAGCAGGCAGAGTTCAAAGACGAGTAGAGGAGAGAAGACCAGGAGCGGCCTCGTCCACCTAGGAGAATGACCCGCGCGCAGACCTTGGAGATCGAAGAGTTGCGAGCCTCAATGGCTCCGACAATGGCAGAGATACGCGCCATGAAATCTCAAGTGCATAATGCGACAAGTGCCATGCCGGAGATTGATCGAATGCTCGAGGAAACCAAAAAAAACCCGTTCACGACGAGGATCACAGAGGCTAGGATCCCCGAGCCCGGAAAAGTCAGGATCCCTTTCTATGAAGGAACCACCGACCCGAAAGCTCATATCACTGCGTTCCACATATCAAAGGGACGAGCTTTCACGAGGAACTCTGTCAACCTGACCAAGCAAGAAAAAGACGCCGGTTATTGTCTGCTGTTTGTAGAGCATCTCAAAGGGGCCGCACTAGAATGGTTCTCAAGGCAAGAACATAATTCGATCAACAGCTTCCAGCAGCTCTCCGCCTTGTTCTTGAATCAGTACTTGATGTTCATGGACCAAGGCACCTCCGACGCTGATCTATGGACGTTATCTCAGGGACCTAACGAACCGCTTCGGGATTACATGGCAAGATTCAAAGATGTTGTGTCCAAAGTATAAGGAATAAGTGACAAGGCCGACCTTGAAGCCCTGAAACGATCCATATGGTACGAATCAGAGTTTCCAAGGGAGATGGCGCTGAACACGCCACAAAAAATTCAGGACGCTCTGCATCGATCATCAGACTTTATCGTGAATGAGGAAGAAATGAAGAATTTAGACGAGCAGTACGAAGCGACGAAAGCAGCAATCTGGAGCTCGATTTTAACTCTGGATCTGAAGAAATACTATCACTAAGGATGCACCACGACCAGCATGAACTATGGAACAGCTTGATCCCTGCAAAGGGTACGTAGGCAGCCCGTCCTCGGACGGGTTCAGCTGTCCCCCTTCCTAAAAGGGGGGGGGGAGTAGGTACGTATACACCATACTTACACCATTTTTTAAATTTTTAACTCGTCAAGTCAGGTATCTCTAGATTTATTTCACTTCATATTTTTTTCGTTCACTTGCTTTTACTTCGGCTAGTTTTCATTCCCTTGCTTTCACTTCGGCTAGTCTTTTATTCACTTGTTTTACGTCGGCTAAACATTTTACTTTTTTTACAAAGCACTTTATTTTCATTGATCTTGCATTGCTTCAGCAAAGTTCTACTTTGGTATTCAAACACCGTACGCCTCGTCTCGTTGCTGGCCACAACGAGACAACAAATACAAAGTTCTCTAAACGGACTTTTACCACCTTTCCTAGGACGAGGGTGCAAGTTACATCCTCTATGGATAAAAATTAAGCGCGCTATACAAATTTCAGACCAAAAACGTATCGGTCGCCACAGTTCACTATCTCACACGAGATTATAAGTCGAGACTACATCGCTTTCTCTAAAACCGAAGTAAACTCTTAAAACCGGCAAAACACACTCACCCTCTCGGGAACGCCGGTCTATAGTCATATTCCAAAGAGAACACTATATCCTCTTGAACTTTTGCCTCGTCAATGAGAAATACTGGGCTAACGCCTCGGCAAGAAAAAAACAGGCTCAAGCTAAACACTTTGGCTGCAACGCCCGACTCTTCCTCACGAACGATCAATCTCTCAAAGAGAACAATGCCTATAAAACACATAACTTACTTGAAAAATACTTCGGCGTTAGTCGGAGATTCTTTCTCAAAACAATCTAAAATAGCTCACCTCAATGAGGACCTCTCTCAGTGATAGAATGGATAAATCTCAATGAACATCCCGAAATCATCTTTGGTTAATAAAAAAACAAAACGCCTCGTCGTTTTACACGGCTCGGCATCATTAATGAAAACGCCTTGTCGTTATTGATAGATAAGACTTTTTAGGGTCTCAGGGCTATCAATCCCCTTGTCAAAGTAGCACAAAGAGGTTAATCAATCCAAGAATGTGGTGATAGACACTAAGCTATATGATCAAGTTCTTAATTCAAGCAAACAAGATTGGGTTTTGGTTAACTAATGACAACTAACAAACTTAAACAGGTTTAAAGACTAATGACAATGACTAATCAAGAACTAAGCAATGACAAAGGATGTGAATATGATATGATGGAGGCATGAGATTCTAGACATGATAGTTGGTTAGGGTGCTTTGGTGCTAGACTAGAAATGCTAATGACAATGATGAGACATGATTCAAATGATTAAGAACTCAAATCTAGGTTAATCCTCTCATGAAGGTATTAACCCCTATACTAATCCATTTTCAAACCAAATTCCCATTTGTGAAACATGAATCAATATGCATTAACAAACAGCTCTTAATGATCATTCAAGCATTTAACAAATCATTCCCATGATGAAAAATTACTTAAACCTCTAACACAACTCTTTCAGGAATTTCATCAAACACTTTTGGTGCATGAAATTCCCAGAATCTAGATCTCAAGTGATTATCAAGGATCTAGCACAGAGAACAGCTGTTTAGAGAGATGAATCAATGAATCTAGCCCTTGAAGCAAAGAATTGAGATGGCATTGTGGTTAATGTTCATACACTCAAACCATATCTTGCAAGTGAAACCAAAGAGGGAGCTTCTTCAGTCTCTCTTGGTGATCCCCTCTCCTCTTAAAGGGTATGGAAAGTCAAAATTACTGACTTAAAACAAAGTGCACTTGAGAGACAATTCCATGTTTATCCTTGTAAATAGTCTTTACATGCTTTCTTTTTCTGTTTTTAGGATGTTTTGATGTTTTGATGTTATGCCTAAGTGTGAACATGGTCTAGAGAGGTTTATGTGCAATATTGAGGAGAATGGAGCCAAGAAAGGATGCAAAATTGTGTGAAATTGGCATTCATATCGAGAAGAATCTGGTCTATATTTTGCTCGATGCAACAAGCCTCAAAATGCCGAGCGAAAATCGATCAGAATATTGACCAAATGGACCTCAGTGTGGAGCAAGAAAAGGTGAAACTTTACATGACACCGAGGTGAATCCAGTCGATATTGGTCGATAGTTAGACCATCTCCAACCCTACTCCATTTCCACATCCAAACTCTATTTTGGAGTAAAATTCTCTCCAACCCTACTCCATTTCCATCTCCAAAATGGAGATATGAACAGTGCGCCTCTATATATGGAGTGACACTATTCATCACCTCCATTTTTAAGTGGACCTTTTTTATTTATAATTTGATCCCTCACCTATTTATATGTTATCAGATAAGTCTTAACAAAAACTTTGTTATTTTTTATATATAAATTTTATTACACAACAACAAAAATATTTTGCTACACAACAAGAAGCATGTAGGAAAGATGTAGAACGTGCATTTGGAGTTTTGCAATCGCGTTTTGCTATTGTGAAAGGTCCAGTTTGTTTTTGGCAAAAGAATGTGCTACACGATATAATGACTACATGTGTAATTTTACATAACATGATAATCAAAGATGAACGTGATCTTGATGCTTCGATTGAAGTTGGAATAGAAGCTTCACCTCCAGAGGTTCAATTGGCAGAGGATGATAATATTCGATTCCAAGAGTTTCTTGCTCGATATAGAGAAATCAAAGATAAAGAAGCTCATTTTTCACTTTGAAATGCATTAATTGATCATTTGTGGGAAAAATATACTAATGATGATAATTAAATTAAATTATGTTATTTTCTTAAGTTGTTATTGTTTTTATTATGTTGTGTAATGGAATATATTTATTTATAAAAATTTCTTAAATTAAAATAACAGTTTTTATTTTATTGAAAATAAATCACTAAAATAAAGTTATTGAGTTCAATTCATAAGTTTGACAAATAAAAAGGTATATCTGCAAATAATTTATAAATTTAGTGGAAAGAGAATATACTTAGAATATTCTTTATGGAGTAAAAATGGAGTAGAGTTGGAGAGAAACCAACTCCATTATGGAGTTACTCCATTTATGGAGTAAAAAATGGCGTAATGAGTTGGAGATGCTCTTAGAGCCTCAAATGCTAAAGGAATATCGAGCATAATATTGACCAAAAAGAACTCGATATTAACATGGTGCACCTCTTTTTCCAGTGGTCGATAGGGTGGCTCAGTCAAAGTCAAAGGCTCCAACTGTATCCAGCTGTCTTGCACCAGCCATAAAGCAGCACCAGTCTCATTAAAATCGGTTTTACCAACATCTTTCTCCTCCCCTTTGCAAAGAAACTCTTAAAACTCCCTTGTTCTATCTAGAAAGCTTATTCTCTCTTGCTAGAAATCGATTTTCTCTGTCATTGCTGAGTCTCAAATCCATTTTGTTTCATCACTTAGCTCAATTCCAAAGTAAAATTTTAAAGAAATTACTTCTTAGTTTCAAATTTTACCATCGCCATTCTTCTTGATATTCTTGAAGAAATTTTTGTTGAAATAAGAATGCATTCCTTGAATTTGAATTAGACCCTTGAAATTTAGGTTGTGGATAGGTAGGGAAGAACTCACATGAGCTCATCTGATTCTTGAATCTTGATTCTAGACACTCACTATTATAACTTGTTGTTCTGGAGCTAGATTCTTGATTGTAGAGAATTGTTTTGAAGTGAGAATCTCTTGGTTGAACCTGGAATAGTTTGAGTTGATTTTGCTTGAATTATGTCGGCTGATTTTATTTCAAGCAACATTATTCTTAAAATACCTTGAGGCTATTTCTTTCTCTAGAAACTCATTACTTTGCTTGAGAATTTGTTGAATTAGGTACCATGGCAAAAGAAAATCCAGAGTTGCAAGCAAAATTACCAAGGAAAGCCAATGGAAAGGCGATTGCCTCTAGCTCACAAAGCAAGGAGAAAGCTGTTGGTTCTGGGTCTAAGAGCAAGGGAAATGCTAATCTATTCAAGTTCAAGGGCACCTGGAAAACAGAAAAGGGTTGAAAGGAGTCCAAGTGAGGATTTGAGTGAAAAAGAGCTCAATGTTGCTTCACCAGCTGCGGTGCCACAAAAGAAGAAGAATTTGGAGAAGAAACCCAAAGCAATTCCAACTTACTCAGATTATCTCAAGAAGCTCCAAGCTGTGACACTTGAAGAGACTTGGTTCCCAAACCTTGATTTTCTAAGAAAGCTTGGGATTTTTGAAGAAGTGAGGGCAGTGCTTCACACCATTGGTCTTAGGAATCTGATGGAGATGCCCCATCCCTCTTACAAGGAGATTACTTGCCAATTCCTTGCATTGTTAATAGCAGAATTTCACAATGGAAATGGATCAGCTGAACTTGAAGATGGTTTTGGATCCATTGAATTCAAAATTGGCAAGGAAAGATATGAGATGACTTTTAAGGAGATAAGCGATTGCTTTGGGTTCCAAGTTAATGGAAAAACTTCTTAAAGGAGGCTGAGATACTTTGGGTCTGATATGCAGCAGTTATTGTGGGCTATATGGAATGGTCACTATTTAGGTGGTGTAAGCTAGGCCGCTTGCATTAGAAGCCCAATACTGAGGATGGTCCATAAGATTGTGGCTCAAATAGTCTATGTAAAGAAGAAGTTTTCAAGAGTTTATGATGAGGAGTTAATGCTCATTGGTGAAGATATAAAGCGCCTGATGCCAGTGTTCAATAGTGGAATGCCTTTACAAGGAGACTCACAAAAACCAACAATGACATCTCTTCTTGTCAAGAATTTCCTTTCCATCAAAAATTAGGCTCTCACCACTAAGGCAAAGAAGCCATCTATGCACATAGGAGGTCTGATCACTCCTATCTTGTTGCACATTGGGGTTGAGATGAGAGGTCAGCCAAACATTTTCAGGTTGATGGATGAGCTTCACCTTGTGAAGACAAAATTCATTGAAGGAGCTGTAAGAAATTCTTTTGCTTATAACCTCGCTCTTGAAGAAGTTAAGGTGAGAGTCTTTTTGCCTAATCCCTCTCTCACTACACTCTCTGAGAGGAGGAACATCAGCTTCTATGTCACCAAAGATCAGCACTACAACCCTGATATTCATCCTCTCATAAAATCACTTAGAAGAGGAGCTCTCCAACCGCCTATTAGTGATGCTAATGAGGATCAGGAACCAGTTAATGAGGAGCCTGTCTTGCCAGACCCAGTTTATGGGAGTCATAAATAATTCTTTGACTCTTATGGTGGCCAGATGCCCAATCATGCTACCATTGAAGCTCACTATCGCACTAAGTCACTTCACAGGTGGAACAAATTGCAGGATAAGACCATTAGAAAATTGGTAAAGACAGTGAAGGCTTTGAAGAGCAATTTCAAGAGCATGGGTGCTACAATCAAGAAGCTCAGTGCCAAGCTTGAGAAGAGTGATTCAGTCCAGAGCACCAAGAGCCAAGGAGAAGAAATGTGAAAGCTCACACCAAGGAGGCCAGCTGGTGATCTTTAGCGGTCAAGTTCAGCATTCACCACAAGACTCAGATGATGAGGAACTATAAGCCAAGATAGATGCCATGCAATCTCCCTCAGACCAGTCAAGAAATCGATCATACTCCTTGGGGTTTCCAGCCCCACCTCAAAGTCCCTAAAAGGTATCACTCCAACACCTTTTACATAGCATATGCATTCTTTTTCATTTCCTTCATTCATGCATGTTTTGATTCTCTCTCTCATTCTTATTTTAATTTTTGCATATTAATTCTCATGCATTCCATCTATATGCATAGAAAAACAAAAAAAAAACAAAAAATTGAAAATTTTTCCACAAAAAGATTCATGTAGTTGCATTCACATACTAAGATTGAGTCTAGATTGCATTTCATATAGGTTGCATTAACATTTTCATAGGGAGTAATGATTGATTTTTTCAAGAGAAAACATCACTTTAAGAATTTGATTCATTGCTCTGGTTGTTAGTTCTCTAATGCATTCAGAAGTGAAATGTGCATCATAGTTTGAACTTTAATTGAAGCAGATTGTGAATTGAACTCAGCCCTTGACAAGTGGAACTTTAATCTGAAATGTAATAATCATGTGGTGCATATTTGAATGAACTTGTGGATAGCATATACATACTTGGACTATCTTTCCCTTTTTACCACTCTTGTTAGCCCAAGTAGCTGATCTCCATCATTGAGACAGTTTTTCCTGCCTTTAACTAAGCCATTTTTGAAGCCAAAAACTCTAGTGAGCGATGTGAGGCCTTTTTTTGAATGAACTTGACAAAAAGGGTTGGGTTTAGAGCGACACGAGTAGGCTTTCATGTAGATCTAGCTCTGCATCATGAGATTAGAGTATGTTAAGCTAGTTAGGAAGGGATCTTGGGGAATCAATGACATGAAAAAGAAAAGTTCTTGGTGAAAAAGAGAGAGATTGGGAAGAGAACTAGTGGATAACAAAGTGTGAAATGGCTGGTTTTAAAGAGAAAACACTATGTGTTTAAAAAGAAAGAGAAGCCTCTAAGTGTTGAGAAAAGAAGAGAAAAGAAGCCAAAATGGCTCACGCATCAAGTTTGATGAGGGAAGAGGCTAGTTAAAAAATGGGAAATGAAAAGAGCTATGTGAAAAGAAAAGACACCAGCCAATATTTTGAGAGGATCCCTTAGTGAGAAAAAGATGAGAGTGAAGAGAGAAAATGGGTTAAAAAGGCAATGAAAGCCTTTGAAAAAGGATAGGTTAGGAGTGTTCTTCATTGGTTTAGAGTTTGGGTGAAATCGATTTGGGCATCGGGTAGATGGAAGTCTACTCTTGTATGCATAGGTTGCTTTTTACCCATAGCATTTTGTTGAAGTTCATTCTTTCATTGAGCTTGTGCTAAATTGAACCCACATGTGCATGAATGAGATCATTTTTATCTCATAACCTCACCCTTAGCCAAGCTTGTTTGTTTGAGTATGCATCATTTTGATCCACATGATAAAACTTAATGAATGTTATTGGGCTGAAGGCTAGGAAGGTCTGTGTAGATTAAGGTTTGGACTTGATGCATTCAGAGTATCTTTCTTGTAATTGCATTTTAGAACTAATAACTATGGCAATGAATTTTGAATTCTTTTAGTGATCGTCTTTCTCTTTGGAATATGAACTCCCAAACTCCAACCTCTCTCTCGCTCTCATTTGTCTACTTTGTTTGCTTTAGGACAAGCAAAGAAAAAGTGTGGGAGGAGTTGATATATTCATATGATTGCATACTTAGGATGCATTTTTAGTCCAAATAGAGAGTCTAATGCATGTATATAGGTAGTTTTCTTAGACTTTAGCTTTGATTTTAGATTTTGTAGAATATGCATATTTGGAATGTTTTCAGGTACTTAGGACTCATTTGGGGACCTGATGGAGCTAAGACCAAAGAGAAACCCTCACCAACAATGGACAGATTTAGAAAAGAGTCCTGAAGCTGGCGATACCTCTGAGTACTTTCACTTCGATTCAGCCTCCGGTGTCTTCATAAAGAATAAATAGGATCGAATCATGTTTTCAGGAAACTTGAAATCAGACAATTTAGAGCAGTGAGATGAAAGTTATGGTTGTTTGACGATGAATTTGTCTCACAGCTTTTCTAGCTTAATCCGATGCCCTCAATGAACCGGTGTACCAAAGGTTTTGCTGACCTCAGATGGAGTTGGACCCTACATCAACGTTGGAGAGGATTGAGTCACCTGGCTCATGGAGTTGGTAATTCAAGTACCAGATCATTAAGCAGGGATTTATGCAAGTTTTGGTGCAAGTGGTCTATACTCACACCAAGAAGAATATCGACCATCTCCTGGTCGATATGACCTTGGTCTCTCCTAGGTTTTTCTTGGCTTTTGGGAGATCACTTTACCGTGTATATCCAGACCAGAATATCGAATTAAATGAGCTCAGAGTGGATCCGCTGAAGCTGCAACCGACCAGAATATCGACCAAGCTTGTAGTCGATATTCTCATTAAGAGATTCTTTGAGCCACACCGACCAGAATATCAGACCACATGCTTGGTCGATATGAACTTGATCCTGGACGCATTTTAAGGCTTTTCCGGGTTAATACCCGGTTTGTTCCGGGTTAGCCCGGCCTCAAAACCATACCTAAATAAACCTTTTAACATTATCTGTTAGACTTATTCTTTATTCTTTAGTTCTTCTTTGCCTCTTTTGTGAAAAAGTAGACCTTGTAAGAGAGATCTTCATATTCTGTTTTAATCAAGAGTGTTTGTTTGTTTCTAATCATTTTTCTATCATTATATCATCATCTTCTACCTTAATTAATCATTAATCATATATAACTTCTCATCTTAGGATTAAGAGAGTTAAATATGATTAGTGAGTAGTCAATTTTATTAGAGTTCTAGATATGTAGGTTAGGGTGCTTAAGTGTTAGATTAAGGTGTTTAGGGACTAGATTTATGCTTTCCTTTCTCTAAATAGTTATGCTTAAAGCTAGATCTTTGATAATCACTTTAGTCTAGAACTTAGGTATTTCTCCACTCACAAGGTGTTTGATGAAATGCTTGAACAAGCTATTATAAAGGTCTATTGCTTTGTTCACACGAGAATGCTTGTTTGAAGAATAGATGACATTTTGGGGTTGATTATTAATGCAATCTTATCATTATGCCTCTAATGAGAATTGGGTATGAGTAATGGTTTGATTTGTGTTCATTGTCTTGAGAAAGAATTGAACTTGTTTGGAACCTTAAGGTAATTGGAATCATTCATCATTTTGTCATTAACATCTTAGTTTAACACCAAATACACCCTAACCCATTATCATGTCTAGAACTCTAAGCCTTTTGTCATCTTTTACATCAGTCACCATTTGTTATTTTTGTTTTGTAGCTTTGTTTATTGCATAATCTTGCTTTAGTTTCACTTTGTTACAAAACCTAATTATTGTTAGACCCATTCATATAGATTAGTGTTTAGATCACACACATATGGATTGACACCTTAAATACTGCAACTACTACTTTCAGAGCATCTTTGAACCTGACAAAGAGATAATTTCTTTTTTTCAGAGAACCTTCATTATTTGGAACTGGTCTTGAAAACGTTGAAGCAACACTAGTTTTACGCCAACCGGAAGAAATGCGCTTTTGGGCAGTCTCAGATTTTTAATCTCGGACACATCATCACCAGAGAAGGAGTGTACAGATCTGGAAAAAATCAGTGTTGTGTGTGCATGGCCTGAGCTTCGGAACATCACATGACAGAGTTAAGGGGATTTTTAGATCTCACGGGATATTACTAGAGGTTTATCCGAGATTATGGAGAGATTTCACGTCCACTTAATTGCTGAAGAAGAATAACTTCAAGTAGAACACCCAGACCACTGAAGCTTTCAACCTGCTAAAAGCAGGCTGTTACAATTTTGACTGTCCTTGCTTTGCCTAATTTCAAAGATCTTTTTTACTTTTGAAACAGATACCTCAAGTAATGGAATGGGCGCAGTGCAATCACAAGGAGAAAAAAAAAACCAGTGGAATTTTTCAAGCAAGATTTTTTCACAAAAAGAGAAGATGAAATCGGTTTACGAACGAGAACTCTTAACAAATGTGCTGGCGGTTCAAAGGTGGCGTCACTACTTGGCTTGTCAATCATTCACCATTCGTATAGACCAGAAGAACGTAAAACATTTGCTGGAGCAGCGGTTTGTGACCTAGGAGCAACATAAATTGGCAACCAAGTTGTTGATTTTGAGTTTGTAATTAAGTATAAGCTAGGGAAGGACAACAAGGTGGCAGACGCCATGTCTAGAAGATCTCAGACCGAGCATTTCTTCAGCCCCATTCTCTTTTGACTTGGCTAAATTGAATGCAAGAGTTAGTAAGGATCCAGCTCTGCAGAAAATGGTTCAAGGGTTGCATGCCAGGGCTCCTTATCGGATCTGAAATACTCATTGAAGCAAGGAGTCTTGTATAAACATGACCAGGTAGTAGTGCCTAGTAGATCTCCCTTCATTCCAATTCTGTTGCAGCAGTTCCATTCCAGCAGCACAGGAGGTCATGAGGGGCAGCTGAAGACATATAAGAGATTGAGCTGGGAGTTGTATTGGAAGGAAATGAAGCGAGATGTGATCAAGTTCATTGAGAAATGCCAAGTGTGTCAGAAAAACAAGTACTTCAGCTGAGCACAACTGGTCTTCTCAACCTGTTACCAATTCTGAAACATGTGTGGGCGGACATTAGTATGGATTTCGTCGAAGGATTGTCATGGTCACAAATGTATAAATCAGTCTTGGTGGTGATGGATCGTCTCAGAAAATTCAGCCATTTTTCCAAATTGTTACATCCGTATACTGCAAAGGAAATTACTACGAAGTTCATTTTAGAGGTAGTGAAGCTTCACGGGTTTCCCGAGTCCATAGTATCCGATCACGATAAGGTATTCCTTAGTAATTTATGGATTTCTCCGGTGGAGCTCGGCCTATCATCCCTAAACTGACGGGCAAACGGAGGTAGTCAACCGCTGTCTAGAAACGTACATTCGCTGTTTTACTGAGAATAAACTGAGGATTGGGGCGAAGTGGTTACCTTGGGCAGAATACTGATAAAACACATCTTACCATTCTGCGATTGAGATGATATCTTTCAGAGCATTGTATGGTTGTGATCCTCCCAATTCCATGATACACCAATAAACAATGCGACTGTTGAGGAGACATTGCGAGAAAGAGATGCTCTGATTGAGGAGTTACAGGCTAACATTATTAAGGCACAGCAGAGGATTAAAAAATCAGTCGATAAGCATCGAAGGGAGTTGGAGTTTGCTCTAAGGGACTAGGTGTATATCAAGCTGAGAATCTACCATTAGAAATCTGTGGCAACGACACAGAATGAGAAACTGGCACCACAATATTTTGGTCCATTTGAGGTGCTGAAGAAAATAGGACTCGCCGCTTACTATTTGAGACTCCTACAGGTAGCTCTATCTACCCTATCTTCCACATTTCTGAGATTAAGAAAGCAGTTACATCAGATCACAAGGCACAACTGTTACCACCAGCTACGAAGTCGAATATGGAGTGGGTAGCGGAGCCAAAAGCTATCACAGCTATCAGAAAGGTTGCTGATGGTACAGGTGTAGAAGTGTTGGTTGAATGGGACGAGTTATTTGACTTTGAAGCTACTTAAGAATTCATATAGAAGATCAGAGAGCAATATCCTCATTTCCACCTCGAGGACAAAATGGCTCATTTACAGGGTAGTACTGATAATTTTGGTGTGCCATTAGCTATCATGAAGAAGAAAGCTATAGACTCGAAGAGAAGAAGCAGGTTCTCGGGTCAGACAAGTGGCTAAAAGAAGAGTATGGAACTGGAGCAGAGACTCGTTCTCAGAAAGAGTATTTCTTATCTTATAAATAAATAAGTGGCTTATATTTGTCACTAAATATTCATTCATGTGATTTGGAATTGCACAAAATATCGTTATTAATATGTAAATAGAGTAAGATTAAAAATACATAATAAAGTTCAGTTAAACATTTCAACATAAATTACTGAATTAAAAAAAATCAAAATAAAAAGAAAAACAAAATACAAAAAGATAATTTTAAAGACATAATATTACAAATATAAAGGTTTATAAGATTAGTTATAAAAAATTATTAGATTACTTATAATGGTTAATAAGACTATAATTATTTTGTCATTGTCTTATATTAAAAAAAATCTTATAAAGTTTATAAGATTAGTTATAAGGGTTTATAAGACTATAACTATTTTTGTCATTGCTTTATAGAGAATATTACCATAGGTGACTTTTGAAAAGTGTAATTGCCAAAAAGACACTTTATGGAGATGATGTACTTATCTTACTTTGCTCCCATTTTTGGATTTTTTTGCCCTTCTTTTTCTTTACGTTCTATTTACTTACTGAAAAATATTAAAACATACGGGACTCACTTAAATTCACTCATCAGCTTCCATACACTAAATAGCGTGGGACCTATCTTAATTCATCAGTTTCTATACAGTAAATCGTACGGGACCCACTCATATGTATGCAACTATATGAAAACTCATGTAAATATGCATATATATTTATATAGTTACATCCATCTCTAATATATGCATGTGGATATGCATGTAAATATATATGTGTATCTATATAGTTACATCCATTTATACTCTATGTACGTAGATATTCATATATATATTTGTGTTCATGTGTGCGCTATTATATAGATACATATATATATACATATATATCTATATAATTGCATAGATATCCATATATTTGTGTCCACGTGAACGCTACTATATGGATACCTATGTGTTTATCACTAAACGACAAAAAAACTAAGTTAAAAAATAAAAAATAGGTATCAAAGTATTAAGAAAAAAAAAATATAATTTATAGTGTCAAAATAATTATTCGATTATTTTTTAAATAATAGATAAATAACAACAAACAATTATGAGAGGTGTGTGATATTAATATAATATTAAATAAATAAATAATATAGATGAGTAGACAAAATGGTTAAAACAGTTATTTGTCTCTTCCAAACAGAAGAAAAGTGTATCTTTTGGTAATTAAAACACAAAACTCCATTTTTTGGACATTAGATAACTCAAAAGTACACGTAATGATAACACACTCATGCTTTATATGACAAAGATAATCTTATAAATCCTTATAATATTTTAAATAGGTTTATAAGACTATAATTATTTTGTCATTGTCTGAAAATTAGTATAATGTACTTTATTTTCTACTATTTTTTATCGATTTGTAATTTTTATTCTTTTTTTATTACAGAATGCAATGTTATATCAAATTTATAGTTTATCTATTTAATGAATAATTAGTATTCATCAAAATTATTAAAAAATAAAGAAAATCTTTAATTTAATAATATAATAATTTAAAATATTGTTTTTAGTGTGAGTTTTGATATTGTGGTTGAAGATGAAAAAAAATACTATTTACTTTTACACTAAAATTTATATTATTCACAACACCAAATTTGATGTTATGATTAGAGATGACCTAAGTATCTAGTTACTATTTAAGTCTTTATTTGTCATCTGTAAACCTTATCTTTTGGGATCATTAATTAACGGAGACTGAGTTTGTGCTCGATATACAACCCCTCTCTCTCTCTCTCTCTCAAGGTAACATTCTTCTTGCTTTGATATTCGAATCTCTAAACGTCAATTAACAAGCATATATTATAACTTAATAAGTAGGTAAAGTCAGGAATTGGACATAGCAACTACGAAAATGGAGATCCAAATGTTAGTTGCAACACTTCTTTCCCGACCGATGTGGATTAACTTCAAAGCATACACAATGTCATTGCATGCTTTCAAACACTAAATTGATTTATCCATTTCACCAAACGTATGCATCTATAAAACATAAAAACAATGAAAGGAAATTTACTCCAAATCTTAAGCCTTTTCTTCTTTTACTTAAGAGCAATCTCAAATATAACCCCTTCCAAGTTTCCCACGGTACACCGAGTCCCAGGAACTTCATTCATCAGCATCCCGTGCTGAGCACCTTCCCTCAAGATCGCAGAATCCATCCTGTCACAACATTTGACATAGTTTTACTCTCTGACTCATGAAACTTGCAGCCATATGAGGAAAAACGCAAAAAAGTTGTGGCTGAAAAGCTTACTGTTTAGCCCGTGATACGTATGCTAGTATGAACTTGCAATTTCCGGGTTCCCTGATCCGCAAAAGCTGCTCAGCACTGTCAAATAGCAATGGCACACTAGATTGCTGAAAGCTTACGTATTGTCAAGGCAATGTTCTCAAATCGTCGGAGTGCTCGATACGGTTTAACTAACCCGAACTAAACAAAAACCGAACCAAACAGAAGATTCGTTTTGGTTTCATTTTCTATATAAAACCCATTAAAACCGTAATTTTTATGAAAATTCTTCAAATCAAAGATGTATTTATCTATAGATCTGAATTTAGACCAAAACCATAACTGTAAATAAAACTACAAACATAAGGATATAGATATCAGCTCCAAGAATAAGATCAAAGCCATCTTTGTGTTTCTTCAAAATTTCACCAAGATGATCACTATTTCCCCATTCTAGCTTTGCAGCCTCTAATTCTGTAAATAGAAACATGAACAGAACCAAAAATAAAAAAAAATAGTTAGGAAAGATGAGAATCGATAGCATGATAAAAATATTAGTACTCACCAGCTGATGGGTTGGGCCCACTCGAATGTTCATAAAGATCGATGTTTTTGTTCAGTATCTGTAAATTTCATATAAAAGATTTGGTTATATTCTAAAAATGATGAATTCGCAGAGCAAATCTTCTGCTAAGCAACCTTGCCTTGAGCACTTCATCGTTATGGTCAGTAAGAATAACTTTACGGCAAAATTTGCTACAGAGGACTCCAGTTATACCTGTGTCATAACAAGATTAAAATTCAGCAACTGCACAAGAATTAAAACCAGCAAAAAAAAAAGTATTCAGGCTGTGGAAGAACATACTGCAAATGAGCACTTGAAAGTTTATATATGATAATGGTGATGAATTACAGGCAAAGAGAGTGTACAAAGACCAAATCTGTCAAGAAAATATACAACAATTTTCTAACACGGAATAGGGATGTTTACAATATCGAACATTTCTAATTGAAATACGAAGGCAAGATACGTTGGTATGGTCCAATCGAAAATGAAAGTTAGATAGACAGTAAAAAGTATTACCAACACCAGATCCCAACTCCAAAACTGAACATCCCTGGAGAATCTCAGCATTTTCTGAGAGATAGCCGTTCATAAGCATAGCACCAGGCCAAACCAGCTGCCCTGTTAAATCAAAATCAGCTGTCCCAGAAAACGTTTTAGACACCTTATAGCTTTACGCCAAATACGACCAAGCGTGGAAACTGAATGATCACAGAACTCATTGCTCAAATTTTAGTTTCTCTATGGCGATAAAAGTTTGAAGAATAATACACCTAAGTAACTCAAATTGACTAGCTACGGTTTCAAGAGTATATAAACAAACAACACAAGTTCTACATAACTTTTGTTACATAAGTAACTACAGAGGAACTTTTATTTGTAGTATAAACATTTAAAGAAGAAGAAAGCCAATTAAAGAGCAGAGATCCTATTAGCTACATCCATCTAGTCAAAGGATGATATATGAAGAAATTCACAATCTTTATTAATCAAATGTCTTCATAACCCAAACCTCACAACAACAATCAAATTGAAAATTAACCTTGCCCAAGATTCATAAAATGTAAGATAGATAAAAGATTAGAAATGTAAACTCACTTGAAGCTGATTGGAGACAGTAGAGCTCAATAACATTCGACCCAAACGTAAACGTCGTCAACTGATAACTGCATACACCAATAACAATGTCTAAGCAAATAAAAAACCAGACACTTGAATTAAAACCAAACTAGGCAAGCATTTTTTTTAGGTCTGTAACAATTACTCATCGTTGATGAAGAAGGATTCATCTAAGCAAACTATATCTTCCTCTTCTTCATTTGCTTTTCTTCCTTGCTCACTTTCGCTACCCATCTTTTACTGCATAATTTAATTAGATTTCTCAGATTCCAAATTTCACTACGAAAACAAAAGCAAAAATGCAAATCCCAAAAATTTGTTCCATTAAATCAGTAACATAAAAAACCAGAGCTCGTAGCAACGGAGGGTGCGGCAACAATGGAGTAGACCGTCGATGACAACGGAAGCGGCGGTGAAAAGCAGATTCGGTTGGGAACTCGGAAAAAAATATTTTTAGAGAGACAAGAGCATACCGATGCTTTCTCGGTTCTTTCAATTTTGTTCAATTATTATATTAAACCGGTTCTAGAGAAAAACCATCCATGGAAAGTAAATGAAACCCAAACTAAGAAAACCATCCATGGAAAGTTAAATCAGATTACTAGGATATTTGGTACTCCCTCCGTTTCACAAAGAGTATCGTTCTGACACTTTTTTTTATTTCAAAAAGAATGTCGTTTTAGAATTCCAATGTAATTTTTAACATAAAATACCATTTTTAACCTCAATAAATTCAGAAAATTAATTATAAATATAATTTCAAAAGTCATTTTCTGCAAATTAATAAGGGTATAAGAGACTTTTTATCTTATTTCTTAATTTGTGTGAAGAATGTCAGAACGACACTCTTTGTGAAACGGAGGGAGTATCATTTTAACTCTCTTACTAGGATCCTTGGGATCATTTTAACTCTCTTACTAGGATCCTTAGGATCCTTGGTATCATTTTAACTCTCTTACTAGGATCCTTGGGATCATTTTAACTCTCTTATTAAGATCTTTGAAATTCCTAAGATCATCTCCAATAGAAATGTAAATTTCTCTTCTTATTTTTCTTCTAAATCATTTTATTCTCTTTCCACATCATTTTCCTTTTTCAATCCACACGCAATTCTACAACTAAAAAGCAAATTAATATTTTTTTTCTTCCAATTCATTTTTTAGTTTCCTCCACAACACTTCATCATATAAATTTAAATTTTTTTTGGTATCCAAATAATATAAAAGAGAATTATATTTATAGATCTTAAAATATAAAAAATAATTATATAAATTTTTATTTTATTTTGATCAATTACTGAATAAAAATATCATTTAAGAAGAAAGAGAAAAAAAGGAAAAAAAAAAGCTACTAAATGAGACTCTGTTTGTTAGTATTGTTATGAGACCCATTCGATATTCTCTTAAAAGGAAAATTTCATTTTCTGCGGTGGCCTTTCAATTTGCCTTTCATATTTGTTTTTCTATTGGATCTAAAAACACTCAATTTCCCTAGGTACTGCAGTTGGTCTAATGTGAAATGTCAAGTGAAAATGTTGTTTCTTGATGTCACTCTCATACTTGAAAAGATTAATGTGACCTATGAAATATATATATCCCTATCTCAGGCTTCTTAGCTAACTGAAAAATCGTGCATGTTAAATCAGTCGTCTGACCTCATTAGGTTAAACGTCAGGTTTAATCCATAATGAGCAACAAGTCTGTCAGGAATTAAAACGCCCATGTAACAACAATAACATTAGATAAAACAATCCAAGGACGAGTCTTAGGAGACATATTTATCACTTCCAGACATAATATGAATTAAGATATAAAGAGTATAATTATAAAACAAGTTCAAGAAAATAATATGTATAAAATTACATAATTACTATTTATCTACTCTTAAATCAATCAACAAACTCTTATAATTTTTTTTCCTCATTTAATTTATTTCTAATTCAATTTTCACATTCATCAATAACGTCCTCAATCTTTAGTCGATTAATTACCATTTCAAAAGCACAAACATTTTTCACACAATAGCAAAATGCTCTGCAAGGGATGACATCCGATTCCAGATCCCATATCACGGATCGGTATGCCACTGTGACCCTCGACCCGCCCTGCGTTTAAAAGACCGCGATTCGAGCCGCCACCATTTTTCTTTCTCTTTTTTTTGTCACATAGATAATCTCGTGGTTCACCATAACCACATGACGTTGAGAACAGCCAGCTCCTTCAAGCTACATTCTGCCCCAGCAAGCAAGTCCACACCCAACCTGTGGCGAATGCCTAACTCGATTCTAATCAAGCAATGTTGTTTTATTCCTACAGAAGATATTAACTATGTTCAAGACTCTCAAACAGGACCAAAGAAACTTATGAATCTAACATTAAAATCATCAACAGCAACTATCACCAACATTCAGTCAATTCTAACAACCTAACTTATCAAAACATGTTTTGGTTTAGGAATAAACTAATCACATCACTAAAACATATGTATGAAGGAATATGAATAGCATTGAGCCCTCACCTTTACTAGGCCTGGGCGTTCGGTTTTTGGGTTCGGGTTCGGTCGGTTTTTTCGGGTATCGGTTATTTCGGTATTTGAATTTTAGTACCCATATGAAAACCGACATAATATCAGATTTATTTGGTTCGGATTTTGCCGATTTCAGATCGGTATGGATACTTGATTTTGGATCCGAATTGTAATCGAAAATTAACAGTTTAAATCAGATTTGGTTATTTGTAACCAATTTACCCGAAACTAACCGTAAAAATCCAAAATATACATTAAAACCGAGTATAACCGAAACAAATATAACCAAAAAGACAAAAAATTGACAACTTCCCAATGCTAAAAATGAAAGATTCAATCGATTCATACGTAATAGAATAATAGGCAAACACTAAAGCAAAGATGTAAGTTCAAACTTCAAAGTTTCAACATCCAAATTCCAAAATCCAAAGTTCCAAACATAAATGACAAATCCATAATTCCAAAATCCATAAAAAAAAAGATAGAAAATTGCATAAGAAAACAACCAATCAACCAAAGTTCAGATTCCTAAAATGAAAATAAGATAAAGAGAAAAAGTTGCATAAGAAAACCAAAGCATCCGAGCAAGAGGAAGCATCCAAATTTCACACCTTGATGAAGAAGAATCTTGTAGTCTGAAACTCAAAAGTCAAAACAATACATTTTGTAACTCGTAAGAATTGAGAATTGAGAAATGAGAACTGACAACTAACAAAACAATATAGCTGAATCTGGAAATAAGAAATACCTTTTACCGTAGAAGACATCAGAATCCTCCAACTCCAAGAGTTGTTTCCACTTTTCACTATTTGTTATGAAACTCTACAACAGACACAAAAACATATAGTGATTAGTGAATATTGAATAAGAAGTAATCAAGTACAAAAACCACTACATTTAGTTATTTACCTTTTTGAATTTCATCTTGTAGTTCGATGTCTGCCATGAGTTGCTTAGTAGTCGTAACTGAACCCTTTTCAGTTATATGTATAGAGCATTTAAGCCACTGCTCTGTGCACATTAACACCTCGATCATATAATGTGTAAGACAACTCCTATATGGATCAAGAATGCGACCACTTGTGCTAAAAGCGGATTCAGATGCAACCAGATGTCACCTGCATTGCTAGCACATCTCTAGCTATCTCAGAAAGAATAGGATACTTCACAGCATTGCGTTGCCACCAGCCTAACACACTCCACTCTGTTCCCTTCATAACCGCTGGATTCTCAACCTTCTCTTTCAAATAAAGCTCAAGCTCATCACTAGAATCTATTTTCATTAACCATTGCTCTGTAGAGACAATCGATTCTTTCATACCCACCACTACCAGTATCCTCATCTAAATCCACCTCAAACTGATCTTGATCACTCTGAGATGATGGGCCAGCTGATTGAGATTGAGACACACCAGTAGAACTAGTCTCGGGTTTGCTTAAAACAGAAGTATACTCCTTAAAAAGATTCTCTAACACATCGGTGACTGATTTTTGAAGCTCAATGCTTTCTGCACTACCCTGTCCGTAGACCATCTCAAAACACATCACAGCAAAATGCATTTTATTCCTAGGATCAAGCACACTAGCAATAATCAAAAGCCGGTTAATTTTCTTCAGACCTGCCCAATACTTGTCAAACTTTTGCCTCATTGACACTGCCTTTGTTCTCAAATTATCATCAGACTCGTGACACAAGTTAATGAGATTCTTCTCAATAGTGCAAATCTCATTATAGCAATAGCATGCATTAACCCGATTAGAAGCAGAAACTACCAGTGTAGATTCGTAAAAAATTTTGAGAAATTTTACCAACCTGTAAACTGCATCCCAATCATTGTCACACGGAGGGCCAACCCTTTTTTTTGTCCGTCTTCATTCTCAGCAAAATGATCAATGTACAACTTATCTTCAAGCTGCATCTTATCGAATGCCACCTTAAACTTCAGAGCTCTCGTCAACATGAGATAAGTGCTGTTCTAATGAGTTTTAACATCTAAACTCAAGCTACCTCTGCTCATCTTACCACTGTCAACTTTCAGCTCAAAAGACTGCAACCGAGCAGAAGAGCTTCTGACATAAGCCACACCATTACAAATAGCAGAGACATTAGCATCCACGGCTTGCATACCATCTTGTGCAACTAAGTTGATGATATGAGCAGCACACCTCATGTGCATATGCTTACCATCTAAAACCATAGCATTCTCTCCCACCTTTTTGAATTCTTCCTTGAAATCCCTGAGAGCTGAGTTATTAGCTGTAGCATTATCCACCGTGATGGTAAACACCTTCTTTATACCCCACTCAGCCAAGCAATCGAGAAGACATGTTGCTATAGTCTTTCCTTTGTGATCCGAGACATACTTAAACCCAATGATAAGCTTTCGCAAACACCAATTTGCATCAATGAAATGAGCAGTTATGACCATGTAGCTGTTACCTGTGTTTGGAGCAACCCAGATTTCAGTGGTTAGAGAGACCCTTCGATTGCCAATCATCTTCTTCATTTCTTCTTTCTTCCTCACATACATTGCTACTAACTCCTTTGTTGTTGTCCTTCTAGATTGAGGATTGTGAAGCTTCACCTTATGGCAGAAATGCCTCCACGCTAGACTCTCAACAAATGATAGAGGCAGCTCTCCCAAAACAAGTAGTTCATTAGTAGCCTCATGAAAAACATCTTCATAAACTTTACCAAACTTAACAGTACCTTCGCTGCCCTCTCGTTGCAAAACAGCCTGGTTTTTATGCACTTCCTGCCACACCGTGAACTGCTTACACTTGTCCAGATGGTTTTTCAAATTTGTTGTACCATTAACCGATGGGCAGCTAAATTCCCTTCCACAGTAGTGACATTTGCAGCGATCATGGTCATTCTCAAGCCTTGTGTAGTGATCCCATACGAATGATCTTGTGCAAAGCTGCTTCTTGGGTTTAGATGATGTTTCACTTCCCCGTGGATTGTTTTTGGCTTTTCT